AAGGTGTACCTTCTCTCTCTGTAAGCTCTCTATAGCACTCCTGCAAAACCTCAGAGAGCAGAAGGACTCCTCGGGCTCGAGTGTGAGGCTGAGAACTGGTCAGACTGGACCTTTAACAGGAAAGGTAATGAAGATGGAAGTTGATATTAGATAGGAATATAATTGCAAACTCTGGCTGGTTCGGGCTGATATTTATTCCCCTGACATGACGATGAACACAGCTTACCCCAGTGCTTCCACCAGCTGCAGAACTGTAAACTTCCCATCTTTGACACCTGAACAAAACAAACAACAAACAAACAAACAAACAAATAAGTTTAGTGAAGTGAAGTGATGAGCTACAGCAATGCAAGAACACGCATGCTCTTAACTCTAGTAGTTGTACCAGGTTATAATTCAAAGGTAAGGCCACAGGGTTCATTGACAGGCTACCTTACACAAACTCAGCAGCTAGCAACCAGCATGTGCTTTAACCACTACGGACTAGCATCAAATTAAGAGTCCTTGTGAAGTGGCAATGTGTTCAAACTCGATGTATACATTCAGAGTGTGCATTTACATCGACAAAATGAGCAAATATATTTTCACGGCGAATGCTTACTCTTTATCTTGCGGTTATAACACTACACAGGATGTTGTGGCGCTAAGTTAGCTAGTTAACCATCACGTCTCGCTGCGCATCCTCGGAGAGCAGCTCTACAGCCTCTCCGGTGTTACTCTTATGAAAATGTCACCGGCAAACCGCGACGAAAGCCTTTTACCTTTGCTGCATCTTTGGCTTGCTGTCCTGCAGTCCAGACACAAATTCCTCCACCAGAGACAGCGCCATGGTACTGTCCGCAGCCATCGTGTCCCTGTAACTACTTCACTGGCACTACGCATGCGCGAAAACTTTAGGTGAATCGCGAAAAGCGATGGGTTTTAGTTATATCTGATAAAATAAAACCGTTAAACCAGTATATATTATTTCCACACGTTTTTCATATTTATAGAAATGGTGGAAGAAAATCTTCAATATTATTTTTCCTTTAATGCTGCATTCAAGTACTGTCCGAACAATGCATTTCAAATACTAGAACTAGTACGTCCTCTCCCTTCCACTAGTTTTGCTTTTCAAGAGGTTCCAATTAATTACTACCAGTATGATTTAAAGTAAGAGTATTGACATTAGAAGAACGTGTATCTGTTATATGATAACTCCGCTGTACAATTAATTTGCGGACTCCTCCGTTCATAATTGCGTCAAGTCCCGACGCAATAGAAACCAACACCTGGCTGGATGCTTTTGCGCAAGCGTAAAGAAAAAAGTTCGGCGGCGCTAGCAGACTGCCGCTGGTCACCTTTCACCAGCGAAGTAGGGAGAATTTTTTAGGGGGGCTATTTAAAGAAAACACTGTACCGAGCTCGTCAAAGAACTGAAGTACTCCTTCGTACGGCGGACAGAGGGAGACTGTAATGACCCGCTGCGTTTGTCAGAGACGGAAGATGCGGGGAAATGATATCGTGCGCGCGGAAGTTTGTGTTTACTTACGCCGTGGTAGCTAGCGTGTTGGCCCTGTTAGCCTGTTAGCGAGAAAGGTGCGCTGTGTCTGGACGGGTTAATAGCAACACTTACAAGTCAGCCCAGCTACGTTAAACAGTAGAAACATACTGTATATATCCTGAAGCTAACAACGAGCTGGTGGCAGATGCTGGGGATTGCTCAACTCTTGAAACATTGGTGCGGGCCACGAGCCGTGAACTCTGCGTGCGCGTGTCAACACGCAGGCAGAAGTTTATTTACAAAGAGGGCACTTTAAGCCCTAATCTCAAACGTATAGACCTGCAAAACGTGATTTAAATATTAACTGCCGCCCTCAGTGCGGTTACGAATGACATATCAGGCTTGCGTCCCTGTGCGTGAAAACCATCCTCCTCATCGGACCTAGTACATCGTCCTCGTCCGCAATGGGGCCCCTGTTTAGCCAGTGAGACCCGTAAAAGCGATCTGGAGCCCGTTAGCCATGGGGGATGTATGGCAGATACTTGGAAGGCTGGAAGACTCGCAGAGTCGGGGCTCCTCCAGGAACGGTGGACGAGGAGGTAAGGCAACATTGTGTGGATGTTGTATTAATATGCGGAGAGGTTTCTTTGAAATATAAGAGCTGGAAACTTAAAGTCAACAGTGTCTCTGTCCGTTGATGATCAGTGATGCCAAAAAAGAGAAATATTTCGGCGTTGATAGTTTTGTGTTGCTATAACAATAGCAGGTTCAGATTTATCTGAGAGTGCATTTCTGGCCACCACTTGTGATTCGCATCCCTTTTTTGTGTCGTGGCTGCTGTTAAACAGAGGTCGATACCTCTGTTTAACAGCAGCCACGACACGGCAGGTGCACGAAATCTCCATTCACGATTCCTCACACACATCAGGAAACTGGATTCTGCTGTAGCTGTCTGACTTTGATGCCTCTTCTGTATCAGTAAAAAAGGGCTTGATTCTTTAGCTTTGACGAGGTAGTTTTTCATCTTATCAGTTCAGACTGGTGAAGCTGTATATTCAGATAACATCTGTACCAAAGTTGATGACAGTAAGCTCGTTGGGTGATTTTCGTATATTAAAATCTAGGGCGTAAGCTCTGTGTTGTGGTTACTGTAACAGCCAGCTACGTTACATTAATTCCAGAAGTTGCTCTCTTTTCACATCAGTTTATGTCTGTTGGTTACGGACTTTCCTGGAAGTTAACATAATAATAAACTGCTACTTTGTTAATCAAACTAAAGTTAACCATCAACACACAGGCGCAGTGCAGCTGAATTATTAGACACTGGGAACTTCTACTTTTGCAGAAAACAATGGTGATTATATTTTGTGTGACCTTGTTATGATACAGTCATTATTGGGAGATTAGGGCTTTACAGCCTGGCAGGTTCATGAATGGGGGTCACGTAAACATTTTGGGATGGGAAAAGACTTTCCAGCTTTTTCATATTTCTGTCATATTGCTTTAAAAGCATGCACGGTTGTGTGACTACAGTGCAAGCACACTTGAGCTCAGTGTTTGCCTTAGAGTGGCTGCTCAGGAAACTAAATGTCTGTTATTCATTTGGATGCAGGTTCTGTCCCCTTGATTTGTTACTGCTGGAAAGTTTTTCAGTCCGCCTTTTTCCAGTGGGAATTGTCTCCAGTTTGCATCAGAAAGATGGGAGGTTTTGAAGATGGAGTCCAACTTTCGCCATATAAAAAAGGGCGTTGTTTGAATAGACTTTCTGACCCCTGCTTATGGAGTTGCATCCTAAAATTAGACTCTAACATAGATTTTTGATGCCAATATGACCTTCAAGGTAAGTTTCTTTGTCGTGTGCCAGAGTAGCTATTTAAAGTTAAAGCTGTCAGAGCCAAGATACCCAGGCTTTCTGGCAGTGGCTCATGTTGATTTCCCAACTTGATTAGACTCAACACGCTCCCTTTGCTAGACAAGGCTTCGATCAAGAACAAGTCACATCATGCCCCGCTGTATCAGTGACTGAGACTGATACTGACTGTAACTCTGTTACATACATGCTCATAAAGAAACCCCATTTGATAAGAGGAAGAATTGGATAGCTCATATGGGATCTCAATTTTTTCGTTTGTTCCAATTTTGTTTGGATAAGAGCTCACTAATTTGTGTTACTATGTTCGTGTTAGGTCTGCCTACCACACGCTTAAAGGAACAAAAAGGAGTCTCGTTTGCATTGTGATGCTGAGAAAAATAATGGAAGAACATGTTTGGACTTTAAATAAACATCTGCAGAAACCCGTTATAAGATAGTAACGCATTTAGAAGCAGCATGGATGTAACTGAAAGGTGATTAGAAATGCACAATTTCCAGTTTATTTTAAATATTGATTTTTAAAAAGTCAAATATCAATCAGGCTATAAGAGTATACAAAACCTGCTGAATATATATGCACAAGGTTCGCTTGCTAGTTTGTAAATCACCTAATAATAACGGTAGACTGATTAACCATGATAATGTCAAAGCTCTCAATGATTAGGATCTCAAGAATCAACAAAACAATTCACTGGAAAGTAAGCTGAACTGTAAATGAAAGTGAAACCTGCCCGTTCCAAGGTGGTCTATCTATTTTGAATGTAATTGCTTTAGAAAACAGCTTGATTAAGGAGAAACGCATTGTTTTAGTTGACAATGTCTATAATTTACAAGTGTTGTTGTGTTTTTGTTTTTTTTAAGCATCTCTGTAACAGTGGTTTACAATTTCAGTAAAAAGCAAATATAGATCAAACCTCAAACCAGCCTTCCCATGAGTGGCTCTCAGCACTGTCTGTATCCAGCTGTCTCAGACTAACCAGAAATCAGCTGGGCTGTTGTATTGTCACGTCTAGGCTGGATTCTGACCTGGAGGCGTTCAAGATTTTTATTGCATTTATGATTATCTTGTTTTTATGTTTGCTGAATGCCCGAATTATAATTGGAAAAACAAAAATAATTACCCAGTCTTAATATTAAGATTAATTACTTTTGCTCAGAGTTTGCTGAAAATATTCTGTAAAATATTATAGTTGCTTCAGGGGATCATTTTCAGATTACAGAGACTCATTGTATCTTTAGTGTAGTGTAAACATTGGTTTGACAAGGAAAAGATCCCCCAGATCCATCCTGGGAGGAGACCTGAATCCCTTTGGAGTTGTGTCATGAAGGGCATCCAGCATAAAAACCTGTCAAATCCAACACACAGAGCAACCCGCTGTGACGACCCCCTGTGGCTGTGGGAGCAGCCGAAAGTAGCTTTTAGAGGCTGACTGTATCTTTAGCTGCAGAAAGGTGAAGGAAACAAAAGTGGTGATAAGATAAGCAGTTACAGCACGTGAGTGAGTGTGCGCCAGTACGTCCTCATATTGATTTGGTCAGTGGCAATTCGGTCAGTGTCATCTGGCAGCGGCGTTATCTTTGTTGCTCTTTAAAGGAAGAACGTGGACAACCACACCTTCCCCCCTGATAGTTTGCCTTATTTCAAGGGAATGTGTGCAGCTGTTAAATGTCTTTGCAGGTTCAAAGCAACATCTTGGTAAAGTAAAGCATTTGTTCCTAGCGTTAGGTAATCTTCATCAGCCACCTGTAGTTGTCGGGTGTGCTGTTTTTGCAGCACAAGGAAGCCTTGTTGCTGTTTTCTGTTTTATGAGGCATTTCACCGAGTTTTTTTTTAAGACACACACACTTATCCCCATAAATTTTATTTCTGTCACTCGCGCTCTCTCACCGTACTGCAGTTTCAGCAGTATTCTCCTATAATGTGAACATTTTTGCACGCGGTCACACTCCCTATTCTTTTTCTATACAGTTTAGCTCACTGCTTATAAGTACAGACACAGTGACACTGATTCATAGGAGTGTACTGCAGCACTGCTGTTTGCCTGCGTGTATCAACCCATCCCCTCTTCTGATGAATTTTGTTAATATTCAAACTTTAAACTCCTGAGCATCTCAGTGGAAGATGAAGAGGATTAACCAGTATGAGGCCAAAGTCTCTGTTACCTTATTTGACCAAAATAAAAAAGCTTAATGACTAAGACATTATATGTGCACTACACTGCTCACATAACGTTGAGGTCCGGGCTTTGTGAAGGATAGTCTGTGACCGATAGTGTTACACGTACATATTTCCTACCCAGGTATGCTTTTACTGCATTTATAGTGTTTTTGAGATCATTGTTATGCTGAAAAATGCCAACTGTGAATCAATACCATGCAGTACCATTTGGAAAGAGATGGCACTGCTTGGCAGATTATACCCTAATGGTACTTTCCTGTGTTCATAATTCCGTTAGTTTTGAGAAGATCTCCAACATCACTGACTAAGGGGCAGTAGACTGCTTTAGACCAGGGGTAGGCATCTCCAGGCCTCGAGGGCCGGTGTCCTGCAGGTTTTAGATCTCACCCTGGGTCAACACACCTGAATCAAATGATTAGTTCATTACAAGGCTTCTGGAAAACTTCAAGACATGTTGAGGAGGTAATTTAGCCATTTAAATCAGCTGTGTTGGATCAAGGACACATCTAAAACCTGCAGGACACCGGCCCTTGAAGCCTGTAGTTGCCTACCCCTGCTGTAGACATTGCCCTTTGCACCACTCCTGACCTCATCTGTACTTACTGATAACACTTTGAACCAAAAATCTCATATCTGGATTCATCCAGCAAAGACCTTTGCCAAGTCTTTGCTGGATTGTCTGCTATTATTCTTAAGAACATGACTTTTAGACACTTAATTTGTTGTAGATGATATTCAAGGCCACTCCATTTATCTTTGGTCTTCCACCTGTCGGCTTTCCTCTTTAGGAATTAACTTTTAGGACAACATTACAATGCTGTGCCTGTCAAAATGTGTAAGCTTTGGCATTGTTCATAGATTCAGCAAAAGAAATGGGTATTTCGTGCTTTGGTGACAGGCTGCTAGTAACAAAGTGCCTAAAGAAGCCATTCACAATTGGCTCTTTTCTAAGTTGCCTGTTAGGCACAAAACTGGTTCATTCCTTGAGTTAGAAGCCTTTTTGATGCTTGAATGATTTATAGGTCGTTGTTAAATGGCTTAACAAGCAAACAGAAAAGGAGTAGGGTCCAAAGAAACCTTTGCAAGACCTTCAGAAAGCCGGGAGAACTATTGCTCAAGATCCATTAAAATTACAAGTCTGGTTTCTTGGAAGCAAAATATAAAGAAATAAGGGCTGGCTCAAGACTTTAGAGCAGCCCTGTACTAACCAATAGATATAAATGCAGAATAAAGTGACACAGACTGTGGGGAGGAAAAAAACAGTTTGCAATAGCTGTAGGCAAAACTTGAAAAGAAGACATTTAAGTAGTTGTTGTTGTTGTTGTTGTAACACAAGCCTCTTTTGTATGACGCGTTTTGCAAGTGTTACGTCACGTTGCCTCGGCAGAATGGAAACAGATAGTTGAGGATTTACAGCATGTGTTTCATCTTAGAAATGAGGAGGTCTTTATGGTGTACCCAAGTTTTATAGAGCCATGTTGCACAATGGAGTTTTCAATGAGCTCATGAGAGTTTGGAATCTCATAGTGCCTTTAATGTATGCAGTGTTTATTACTGATGATACTGATGCAATAAGCTTCTAAGAGCCAGCATGTTCCATGTTAAGGGCTATGTGCTACAAAATAGGAGCAGGTGGACCTGTCGGTAGCTTTTCTGAGCTGAGTGATCTGTAAACAGAGCATATAAAGACAGTGGCGGCACTATTGTAGTAATAATGCATGTGGTGGTTTTTTTGGGTTTTTTTTAAGTACCATTACAGATGCTTTAAAAACACTTTTAAACTACAGAGGCGGGCCGTGTCTTTAACTGCAGAAAGCTGAATGATGTAGCGTGGTGATAAGATAACTGACTACAAGGTTGAGCCCACTTGGGTGTCCTGTACACTGTGTACGTCCACGTTGACATAACTGCAATATGTCTATAGCTCACGAATGTCAAACACATCTTCACATCATGGGCCACATACAGCCTAATCAGACCAGTGATAGTCCTTTCTGTCAGTATACAGAAGTTTAACCATACATCGAATTCCTCAGATATCTTCATATTAAGGAAAGAAGTACTACAACCTTTCTTCATCATGTAGAAAAACTTACTTTTGAAATTGTAAGTTAAAGAAATCTGTCACCATGACTCTGTGGAACCAGGTTGTACATATTAGGTGTGTAAAATTACAGAAAAAAATGGTTGTTACTCTGTAATAATATAACATTTTTTAACCAGGACCCATAAATACATTTTTAAAAAAAGCAAAAACAAAAACATGTGTTGTAGGTAGTGAAAAAAATCGACTTTTCTGCCATTTCATTCTGTATGAATTACTTATTTACCTGGTGTAGTATATATTGCCATGTAGGTTTTCATCAGTAATGCTATAAAAGTTATGAAAATAAAGCTAAAACTAGGGATGTTCCTAGTGAATAATTTCTTAGCGTACTTTTCCCCTTCATTTAGTCAACTAACTATTCTAAAATGAAGAAACAAGTTAAATTTGTCAATAGGGCTGCCACGATTAGTCGACTAGTCACGATTACGTCGACTATCAAAATCGTCGACGACTGATTTAATAGTCGAAGCGTCGTTTGAAGCTTTGTAAGATCACAAAAGACGCAGGAATATGTAGTAGGATTTAAGGGTGTAATAACGGATTGAAACAGAAGATGGCAGCACTGCATGTACAAGGATGCCAGCTGCCGTTAAACCCCGAAGAAGAAGAAGCTGTGTCCCAGAATTCATAGCGCGGCCCAGCTCAGTTTCCAACAATGGCGGCAGCTAGTTAGTTTTAATATTACTCTTATTATTCTTTCTGGGTCACAAAATAAACGTTTAACATATTTTCAGGCGGGAATGTAGCTGTGGAAACCTTAAATATCTGCTCAGTTTATCAAGACACCGCATATTTTCAAAAGCGCTCGACGTTTTCGGAGACGTCTGTTACCCACTAGCTCGATAGCTAGCCGGGGGCTAGGCTAACTAGAGCCGTGAGAACACCAGACTCCCGGCAAATCGTTTTCAAACCCACCGCCGTCTTTCGCTACTCAGGTTAAACATATGAGTCACTTAGATAACTTAAAATGTTATTGTTTGGCTTTTTTTTTTTTTTTTTTTTTAGTATTTTATTTGTTCCTGAGTAAATCTGTTTGGCTGAGATTAAAGTTATAGTTTTTACACAGCTGAATAAACGTCAAGCAGACAACTGATTATCAGAAGTGTGAGATGCTGGGGAATCTACTCCGGTGTCCTGTTATATTTTAGATAGCAAGGAGTTTATTAAACTTCACCGAAACAAACTATCATCTTGTCTTTATTTTTAGTTAGCACAGACCTTAAACACTTAAAGCTGTAAGCTAATGATAGTTATATAAGAGCAGATGCTGCTGGTGCAATAAGCTGTACGTTTTACGTCCAATGGATGATGATCTGATTAGTCGACTAATCGCAAAAATAATCGGTGATTAGTCGACTATCAAATAATCGTTTGTGGCAGCCCTATTTGTCAAAAACTCTCTACACAAAGGCATTTTAAGCATTTAACACATTCCTTAATCAATCATGTTGCTTAACTGTGCAGCACCTTGGTTATGAGCATTATGAGCATTTCATGTTCTCCAGAAAAACACTTCTTCACCTGTTGAAAATGTGACAAATTATCATCAGAAAAACAAATAAACTGTGACTGAAAAGTGTGGCACATTGTGCTGTGTGTTATGAATAATGCACGCTGTTCCATATTCATGCCAACCACTTCAATAAAAGTTTAAATCTAAAATGACAAAACGATAGAACGATAGCAATTTTTTTTTCTGTTTATCTGGAGTCGGGGCGCAGGGGCAGCAGCCTATGCAGAGAAGCCCAGACCTTGCTCTCGCCTGCAACCTGATCCGCTTAATCTGGGGAACGTTGTACCATTCCTAGGCCATCCGATAGATATAATCTCTCCAGCATATCTGGTGCCTCTTCTCAGCAAGACATGCCCGGTCACCCAGAAACCTCACCCAGAAACTGCCCGCCTTTACTTTCGATGTGGAGTAGCAGCGGCTCTGAGCCCATCCTGAATGGCTGTACTTCTCAGGGAAAAACCATGCACCCCTGGGTGAAAGTCCATTTTCGCCGCTTGTATCCACGATTTCGTGCTTATACCTTTTAAAAGGACTAACAATATTTGTGTTAATAATAAGATCAGTCCCAAGATTGGTGCATTCATGCTGTTTCTCAACAATGATCCTCCATCTGATGGCAGATGGCTGCATAACATTTGGGACACAGCAATTAATCTGCATTGGATATCAATTCAAATGTTTTTGGCTCTCATGGACACCACAGGCCTTTTTTTTTTAATTTTTGCTCAGTGGTAGTGAGGAACCTGCTTTTCTTTACTTGGGATTCACTCGCCTTTAAATGCTAATCCTACACCAGGATTACTTGTCCTGAGCCTCCTGCACTATAGATAATTAGTCTGGAAGAAAGGCAACTCTGCATGCGAGGTGTCCCTTTTGTATGCTGTATTTTCCATCAGTCCACTCTTCAATGTGTGGCAGCTGTGACGCAGGCATTAGCAACTATAGGCAAGTTTAGTACTCAGTTTTATTGTCAAGCTTTTACGTTGATTTATAGCTTCATGTATTTTATTTCTGGACATCCGTAGCTTCAGTCAGAGGAATTTTATGCCGGCTATGATACAAACAGGTGTGGAAAATCACTGGAAGTTTCAATGATGGGTGGCTGATCCTAGCCTGTTGTCCTTATGCTTTCCCTCCAGATCAGTCAGTGTTCTCCTGGCCTAGGTGTGCTCTGTATTAATAGTGAATAGTGGGAAACATGAAGGTAAGGTTACATAGACAGATATAGAGTAAGCATACGCTTCATGGATACAGCAAACTCTGAATGACCTCCTAATTTTAGATTGAGAAGACATGTTAGGGTGGGGTAGGACGATCTTTCTCTGATGACAGCTCGAGTTTCTGTCTGGCAGTTCTGTTTATTACAGTGAGGAGATGAAAGAACAGAGTTAAGGCTGGGCTTTCCTCATTAGCCAAGCTGCCTGCTCTCTGCATTCGGCATTCACACATGATAATGAGGATTGTGAAAACGACTTCCACTGACTGTCGTGTTTGGATTCCTGTTGTTTCTTCCTCCATTTTTACAATAGTAAGAAGGGAAATAAATTGTACATGTGGGTGAATTAATCAACACTTGTTTTGTAATGAGAGGACCTCATGCTGTGTTCAAATGTTACCTTAAATTAGATGTTTTCAGAATTCTGCCTCTGACCTTAGAATTTAGTGGGGTGTTTGTTTTATTTGTTGCGCATTATGAGTGTGAAACTTCAGCATTAAATTAATACACTCCTCTACCTTTACAGGGCGTAACGAGCCTCTGAAAAAAGATCGTCCCAAATGGAAGAGTGACTACCCGATGACGGAGGGCCAGCTACGGAGCAAGCGGGATGAGTTTTGGGACACGGCGCCGGCCTTCGAGGGCCGCAAGGAAATCTGGGATGCTCTGAAAGCAGCCGCTGTGGCCTTGGAGTGTAACGACCATGAATTAGCTCAGGCTATAGTGGATGGAGCCAGCATCACACTGCCACACGGTGAGGACAGAACACACACAGTATACTTATACAGTACAGTTCTCACCTCACTCTCACATAGGCTGCTTAAACCAGACTTAACTTACAATGTGACCTGTTTTTCTGTGGCATCCTCTTCTCAGGTACCCTGACAGAGTGTTACGATGAACTTGGGAACCGCTACCAGCTGCCCGTCTACTGCCTGGCACCACCCATCAACCTCATCTCAGAGCGTAGTGACGAAGACCCCAGTGACAGCCCTGAACCCCCAGCAGCATCCAAGAAGGAATTCCAGCTCAAGGTACCATGACTAGTACATCTCCTGTAAGACACGGGTCACGTTACCAACTGATTAGGACTAAATGGTGTCATCTGCATATTAATCCACACTGTAAACACTGTACTCAATGTAATCAAATAGATGTACTGGTCTAATATTAATTCAGAGTAACTGATTAAGTTTAGACGAATATTCAGTTGGGTGTATTAGTAACTCAAGAGGCAATGGTTGCCTCAGTCTTTGTTTTGGGTTTTCCTTAAAGTTTGCATAAAAAACTAAATATGTAAATCTCCATACAGTCATGCCAAAACTACAGTTCCAAGGTTTTGCATATCAGAACATGCTAAAAGTGGTGTAGTCCTCGAGCAAGTCATAAAAACTGATAGAATTGACTTTTTATACTGCCATTAATCATGCAATAAAAAAAATGCAGAAACAGTGTGTGAAATGCTGAGTACACCCTTACTGCTTCCACAACAATTAAGGGGTAGATAGCAGCCAGGTGCTAGTAATTTGAATAGATTTGTTTGCTGGTCAGCAAGTGTGAGCACTTCTATAAAAGCAGAAGTTTTAGTAGTTTGCTATTCTGGAGCATTCAGGTGTGTGTCGACACAGTTCCAGACAGAAATGACAGCATTATTCGTACCTACAGTTCATTTAGTCTGCTCCAAATCAGTTGATGACTTTGTAAACTTGTAGCTTTTGCTTGTATTTTGGTTTCTTTTTGCACACAGAAAAATCTATATTAATTCCAAGTGAACCAAAATGTTTCACTGCAAGTCAAGTGAGAGTGTTCAGTTTGCTGATTGGCCAGATGTGTCTGAGGTGAGAACAACTAAAGTAAATACAAGAAGAAGATGCTGTGCTCCCGACTATTGAACATGAACATGAAGAATTTGCAATCACGTCACAACTAGTTGTCTGTACAGACCTTTGTACATCTATAGTACCTTGCCTCATCCCAGAATACAAAGCATACAAGGGTCCAGGAAGATTTTAGCTCAAGCCTACAGCATTTGCACCGTAAAGAAAGTTTTCTGGAGTTCATTTGGAACCACACCAAGACCAGCTCCTCCGCAGTGGTGTGGTTGTTTTTGTCCGCACCCAAGTGCGATTACCGTGGTCACACCTGCACAAACGAACCGCAAGGGGGAAAACGAACCAGTTCAATTTAAATGGACCAAGCACTGCAGATATGAAAACACCCTAAGAGAAACAACGATTGCTTCCACCTATGTGGGAAGGGTTATGAGGCCATTTCCAGTGACAAAGATGACTCTCATGTGGAAAACAATTATGTCAGCCACCATTCTTCCCAGCAGTGGAAGTAACAGAAAATTCCCCCACTTCTCAGACTCTACAGCCCTACTTTAACATTTAACATGCTGAAGTGAACTGTTAAAGTTCTTGACAGAACAACTAGACAAAGACTGAACAAAGTCTCTTCTCTCTAAAAAGAACAAGGCAGCATGTCTTAGGTTTCAAGAACTGCTAAAGTCTAGGAAATTTTTTATTATGTTCTGATATGGAAAACCTTAATATTAGTAGAGTGTGACTACATCTGGGTCAAATCATCATTAATGTTGTGGCTGTGCTTCTCCTGATTAATTGTTAAACTGCTGCAGATTGACAGGCTCTGGGAAAGTTGATGTAGTTACACATTACTCTGTTTTTGTGTTAGCTAGCTATTTGAGCCGGTTTATCAGCAGCTGGTTTCACCTTTGGACAGAAAAACAGATTTCATCCAACATTTACTTCCTGTGGTTATGAGTCATATCCTCATATGTGCCTAATAAGTGCAAACAGATGCTAGAGAAGCTTATGTACTAACATTCATGCAGCTTTTGACATTTATTAAGACTTCTTACGGGGTTAAAACTGTAAAATGCCAACACAAAACAAGCCACGGACCAGTTTTTGAGTTCTTTGCATTTGGAACTTGGCTAACCTCTCCATGCAGCATTGTTAGCTCACTCTTCTGCTCTCTGCTCCCCTGTAGGTGCGGCTGTCCACAGGAAAGGACTTGCGTCTCAGCGTCAGCATGGTTGACACCATAGGCCAGCTGAAGAAGCAACTGCAAGTCCAGGAAGACATCGACGCCGTTCACCAGCGCTGGTTCTTCTCCGGGAAGCTGCTCACGGACAAGACACGGCTGCAAGACACTAAGATCCAGAAGGACTTTGTGATCCAGGTCATCGTCAACCCACAGGCACTCCAAGCCCCCAAACCATCACCGCCGACAACCACCGGCTCCTCACCTGTGCCCGAGTAACCGAGGACCATCAGAGGAGCGATGCAGTCTGTGATGGACCAGAGGTGCCTCCCAATGCTGGATAACTTATTCTTCTTGACAAAAGCTACTGTTACTGAAAGAGAAATAAACTGTGAGGGTGAAACAAACAAAAACAGACAAAGAAGAAACTGAAAAGTGCTGCTTTTTTTCCCCCTTTTTTCTAAATGTCCCTGTGTGTGCACGTGTGTGTTTTTTTTGGGGGGATCTGCTGAGTCGTTCCAGTCATCACACTAACCAGAGATGCCTGTCATCGTTGCATATTAAAGCAGAGCTCCTCGCGCTGGTGTGCAAGCCTTTTCTCAGTGCACAGAACGTGCACATCAGAGCTGCACATGCAGACTCTGCCTTTGCCCTTTAGCCTGCTAACACAGTGCCAACAGAGGAACTGCAGAGGCGTTGGTTCTAGAGCATATTTCTGCTATGACACCTATAAACTCAGCACTGTTGCTCTCTTTCTCCTCCACAGAAACAGGAAAGGAAAGCAGTAAAAAAGAAACGTGCTGAATATTCTTCTTCTTTTTCCTTTCCCTTACTGAGGAAATAAAGTCAACTGGGCTTTTTTTTGCACATTTAAAGATTAGTACTATACTTTTGTGGTAGTTTGTGTGCCTTCTACAAGACAAAAGGGGGGGGGGGTAATCACCTGCAATTTTATTGTTGGGCTAATATATCTTCTTTTTTTGTTTGTTTTTTTTTTAGATTCAGGAACTTTTAGATGGACCTAAGCTATAAGTGTTGCCTTTATTTCTTTTAAAAGATTTCGTAAGTCTTGCGGACAGAAGAGAATGGTTGTGTGTGGGTGTGTGTGTGTGGAGGGGGTGTGCGACAAGATTACGAAGCTGACCCATACGATGCATTGAGAGTCGAGACTGGACTAAAAGTCATAGCTTAAGTGAATCACGTCATTGATTTAAGGGAAAGCGGAATTCCCTTGAAAAAAGTGTCGTCTTAACCGCTGCATTGCTGACTGCGCAGTGACGCCCTGACCAGCAGGAGGGAGCAGCACAGGCCTTATTAAATTTGATCAGATCAGTTGTTTATGGTCACTTGTTTTGTTTTGTTTTTCCCCTTCCACCACCGGATGAATGTAAATCCAGCTTTTTTTGCTCTCGATGTGGTCTGGTAATGTTGAACAATAAAAGAAAGAAAGGAGGGGAAAAGGGCATTTTCTCTTCACCAGCAGGTATGATACGGAGCGGCGAGTGAAAACAAAAAGCTCAAGCTGATTTCTTCTTTTCTTTTTTTTTTCTCCCTTCAGTAAAACTGGCCATACTGGTGATCCCCTACATATCATGACTGTTGCTTACAAGCACACCCCAGGGATTTCCACACGATGTCCAGTTTGCTTCTCATGTAAAAGCAGTTGTTTAAGGCCTTCTGTGTGGCAGGAAGGCCCCACAGAGTGATTTAAAAAAAGGTGGATTTGGGAATTAAGCATTCATTTTGCATATAGCAAACTCAGCGTATGGCAGTAGGCGAGGTATGGTCTTAAGCAGGCAGGGAAAGGGAAATGCAGCATGCTGCTTTATGGGATTTTTTTTTTAGGGGGGTACTAATACTGCTGGAGTTTTCTTTTAACAAATTTTAATTTAATCATATTTTCACAGATCTGACTGGAAAGCTAAAAATAAAACCAACCAAAATCTGTGCTTCAAGGCGAGAATGTTTTTTTTCTGTGGTGGCTTTCCTGTAAGCTGGTGTCGATTCAGAGAACAAGGAGAGGTTTTTTCGAGCTTGTTTGTCTGTCTTAGTTTCACACTGAGCGGTGAGCACGCACTGCCTGTTTGCTTTACATCATAGCACATCTGTTAGTGTTCATGCCCCAACTCTAACCGGCTCTTGAAGAGCAACAATAATTGTTTGGAGGGAAGAGAGCCATCAGGTTTGTCGCCAGCCGCAGCGGTCACCAGAGGAAACAAACGAGTGAGATCTGATATCTGTATGTAAATCTGCAGACGAGCTGCAAGATCTTTGGCAGTGGAACATTTTCACTTTTTATTTATAGCTGCTAGCAGTCCAGAGTTCACTCGACTTCGCTCACCTTAAGCAGCCTTTGTTTGTATGTACCCGTGGAGAGCATTAGCTATCATCTGGGAATTTTTAAATTTAACAGTATTCATAAGTGATGACCAGTGCACAAATAAGCTTGGCTGATGCTGGAATCCCTGAAAATTAGATGTTGTCCCAGAGGCTGGACTCCCAGATTGATGAGCTACAAACAAAACAGCCCCACATTCATCCCCTCATGCTGGACCATCTGAATCCACTTTAAATCTCTGTGGCTGTGTTCACACTGGAGCTCAGTGAAGATGATTTTGCCTGAATAATATCCATGGATCACTCGGTGTGAAAAACACCGTGCTTTATTATCACAATCACCCTTTCTTGTATTTGCAATCAGAGATATGAGACTGCTTTCCTGAGCAGTGTGTTTGCACAAGAGTCTGTTTGTATGGGAGGAAAATAAAGCCATAATCCTGATCATGACATTTATGTCACTGCGTAGCACACCCCAGCTGATTTTTTTTTCTTTTCTTCAGTGACTCATTTCAAACTCAAAGTGCATTTAAGCTACTTTTTTTTTTCTGTTGTCCTGTTTCTGCACACAAAGGAGGAAAGCCAAAGATACAAGAGCACTCTGTGCATCAGTTCCAGGTCACGTTGCAGAATAACGCATCAGCTGGTTCACTGTCACAAACGTCCACAGCTGGACGAGCTTTGTTTTCATTCTCCGCTCCTGTCGCACAAATATCCTGCATCATCAGCATCGTGGAGGTAATGAAACTGACCTGAGCCACAGCAGAGAGATGATGATCCTTCTCTCTTTGTCTAGCCACTTTTCAGCCTTGTGGTTCATTAACTTGTGTGTGTTTTAAGGATGTTTTTCTTTCTTCCTTCACCTTTTACCTGTGGTTCCTAAAGGGATATGTTTTGTAACTATCGTATGCAAACTTGAACAAGCGTTTGTCTCTGTATGTGCAATACAATAGACATAGACCTCATCAGTTTCGTGTCTGATTTCTGCTTTTTGCTGATATCCAACAGCACCAGCCATGAGTATTGTCAAAAGGTACAATCTGCAGTGCTGCAATCACCTGTGTTTGTGTTGTCTCTTTAAAATGTGTTGCTAGCTGTCGCCTTGACCGCCCGTCCCCACGGGCTCTTAATATTTCTAGAGTAAATATCAAAGATTAAATTTGCCTACACAGTTTCATTTTAGTGTCCATTTAGCATTCTGCGGCGCTCATCTCGGCCGTTAAGGTTGGTGTCGTCGGACTTGAGGGTGCTCTGCTGACAGTTTTAATTATGGCATCTCCTGTTATGCCATTCTTGCTGAAGTAAGCTTGTTTGCTTGCTCCGTGTCTTCAATTTGTCCTCTTTATTAATGTCTTTGAGACTTTGAGCACTGACCATTGTCCGACATTAAAGGGACCACATGTTATTACACTGTAAAGTGCTTTAAGGTGCCCTCAGAGAACTGCAAACAGGACCCCTGATCGACAGTATACAAACTACTAAAGCCCATCCCCTCCCATTAACGGTTCAATATGCCAATTAAAGGCAAAGTATAAATATCTGTATGGTTGCATCATAGGAGTGTGCTTCAAAGCACAGCCAGACATTTAGTTATTGCATTATTTAGTCCCCTAAACCTAGAACCCTAGTCACAACCTTGGTTATTTTTATTAAATGTCTTTGTTAAACCAGGCTCTGTGCACACTCACCATATCATATAAAATATGGACATGGCTTGTAGGACTAACAACTGAAGCCTACACTTAAGTGCCTTAAACTGGGATTGTTTTTAACGGCCACCAGGGGGCCACGACTGTGGTTGCATAAAAAGATTTCTCATCCTATAGTCGTCAATGGGAAACCGTTCCTTGTCCAGGTTAAAGGGGAGCCTAAAAACACTGGCTTACCTCGCTAACACATTAATCTTGCGCCGTAGCACACCCCTCTTGGGTTACTCTGGAAATTCTCTTGTTATCAGTCTTTCTGATATGCTGTTGCACATATAGTTCAGACAGAATTTAGGACAGGTTTGTGTTTTGCGTTGTTGCTCTAATCACTGCTCTGCAGCTTTGTGAACTAACCCAGAGAAAAATGTTACCACTCGCAATAGTCTTTTCTTTGTCTCATTAGATACAAGTTACTGAAATCTGTTCCCATAAGGAGATAACTTATCCTCTCAACCTTAGAATAAGAGGAAAGATGAGATAAAATTCCAATTCTGAGGCGTGAGATTAAGCACTAATACATGTTTGTCAGTCGAGTTGTGTTTTGGAGCTCACTCTTAGAGTAACAGCGGGTAATTCAAGATAAAGATGATTTAAGATAATCTGTGAAGATGCATCAGCACAGGCAGCATGTGTGTTTATTTAGCCCCCGCCTTTCTGTCCTGAACCACTTCACCTCCTTTAGTTTGAGTTGAGTCCAGTGACTCATCTTTTTCAGTGAAATGTAATCACAGTTTACGTGACGTCAAGCACTCAAAAATGTGATAAAGTAGAGCTTAAATCAACTTTATGATATTTTTGAGCATCTGGAGATGTTTTTAAATGGGCGGGGACTTGAGAGCAAATCCTTTAACCACACTTTGAGGTGATTCTCAACTGCAGACTGTATAAAAAACATGGACATAGTTTTCAGGTCTTAACAGTGACAATGTGAACGTGCCTTAAACCTGCATTCTCTTATATATCCAGCAGGGGGCAGCTACTGTCAGTGTAGCAGAAATCCAGTTGCATAGAATCTTTGCATGAAAATCCCCCTACTTCTCCCATGATCTACAATCTCACTAAACATGTTCCTGGTGAACTTTATGGGCTCAGTCACTAGTTTCAAGTCTACATTCATACAGTCTGATGTTCATTTTGTAAGTTGTGTTTATTAAGAGTCAAATTCATGTTTATGTTTATTACGCACCACCTCTCGTTTTAAACACGAAAATCCTTGATGGTCATAACTTAGGGGTGAGGTCACTGCGGCTACGTCCAGCTTTTATATACAGTCTGTGTTCTCATCAGATGCCGTTTAGCCTCTTTCGTCTGAGCACTCTCAATGTGTCGAACTTCAATCGAGCAATGCAAATGGACACTGATCACACACACTCAGTACTGGTCTCAAACTCCTTGGAATAGTGCTGCGTATCTGCAAACATGTAAGACTTGACTGAAATAAATATGTGACATCAGGGACATATGTTCATGATACCCAGGAATTAAATTCCATGTAAAGCTGGTTATAAAAGCCATAACAAGCTAGTGATATTTATTAAAATTCTTTTTTTTTGTGGCTATTAACACTCCACACATTACTATTAAAAAACTTTAATTATTCTGGCACAAGAGCAGCCATATGTAAAGCACTCAAAAAAGGAAATGGAAAAAAAGAAAAATAGAGAGATCCTAATACACATTTTTGAAATTGTCCACACCATCCAAGTGCATAGAAAAAAACAAGCATCTTTTAATGAATATGTCTTGAATAACATCTGCAAAATAATTATACCTTTGTTGGGTTCATTTTTGTGCTGACTTCTTTTTAAAACATGATTTTAAAAGGTTGAATA